GGTCCGGCCCCGCCAACGGGGGGCCCCTGCCCGGCCGGGGGGCGGCGGGCCGAGGGCGCTGGGGTCGGGGGGTGCCTGTCGCGGTCCCGGTCGCGGTCCCGGTGCGGGTCCGGGCGTTTAATTGGCGTTGTTTCGGGGCAGGGGGAGGGGGGGCGGCCCCGCGGTGCCCCCGGGGTCCCGCAGCCGGTGTCGGTGGACGGGGAGCGGGTGGGACAAGGTGAAGAAGTCGCCTGTTTTAGGGGGAGGAGGGTGGAAATCAGGGCTTCACCCCCATCTCCGGCCTTTGCACCCCAAAATCTCGGGGTGGGGGGGGACACACTGGCCATCTCCCCAGGAGAGGCTGATATAAATGAGGCCTCTAATGAAATCCAGGTCGGAGGCATGTCCCTGGGTGTGCGGGCTATTTATAGCCGCCCGCTCGTGATGCTCGCCATTCCTCGGGCTGCGGGTGCGTCAGCTCGGCATAAACAACTGCCCTGCAGTAACTCCCGCGGCCTGGGCCCCCGCACCGGACCGTGGGGCTCGGTGGATGACGGCATTGACGTCTCCACCACAGAAGGAGAGCCCACCAGCACCTCCAGTGATCGGGGCGGCTCTTCCTGTAGGCATTGACCTTATCAATGCCTACAAGTATCTCAAGGGAGGGTAGAAGGAGGAGGGAGCCAGACTCTTTTCAGTGGTTGCCAGTGAGAGGACGAGGGGCAACGGGCACAAGTTGGAACAGAAGAGGTTCCACTCAAATATGAGGAGAAACTTCTTCACCGCGAGGGTGACACAGCCCTGGAAGAGGCTGCCCAGGGAGGGTGTGGAGTCCCCTTCTCTGGAGATCTTCAAGCCCCACCTGGATGCTCCTGAGTGATGTGCTCTGGGCAACCCTGCTTTGGCAGGGGAGTTGGACTAGATGATCTCTATGGTCCCTTCCAACTCTAAAAATTCAGTGAAATTCCCAACCGAAACCCCACGCCGTCTCTTCCCGGCAACGAGCCGCCCCTCAGGAAAAGCAGGACATTTCCCACTGTAAACTCAAACTGGGCTGATGCACCCTGATTTTGTTGCTTCTGTGAGGATTTACAGCAATAGCGGGTCCCTAATTTTTCATTTAGGTTTTTTTCCCCAGGGTGTTGCACCCCCTTTTTCTCTTCGCTGACCTGCAATACTCCCTTTGCTTTTACTCCCTTCGCCCTCAGTAGACCCCCTGTGACCCACCTCCATATTCCATCCAGAATCATAGAATCATTTAGGTTGGAAGAGACCCTTGGGGTCATCGAGTCCAACCATCTACCCTACTCTACAAAGTTCTCCCCTACACCATGTCCCCCAACACCACATCTAAATGACTCTTAAACACATTCAGGGATGGTGACTCAACCCCCTCCCTGGGCAGCCTGTTCCAGTGTCTGACCACTCTGTCAAAGAATACACCTTGCCCGAGTTCCAGTGTCTGACTACTCTTTCTGTGAAAGAATACACCTTGCCTGGGACAGAAGAGAGAACTGGAAAACAGATGCACTGGTAGAGAACTGATCCTGTACCATCAGGTGCTTGTTTCTGTGCTTTCAGATCTGTTGGGCCTTAGCAGTCGCAGGAAACTGCAGGAATTGCTCTAAAGCCACCCTGATAGATCTAATTCTGTCTTGAGGGCATAGGGGTACCTTAGATGACCTTGTAGTAGAAGAGAGAACTGGAAAACAGATGCACTGGTGGAGAACTATCCTGTACTGTCAGGTGCTTGTTTTTGTCCTTTCAGATCTGTTGGGCCTTAGCAGTCGCAGGAAACTGCAGGAATTGCTCTAAAGCCACCCTGATAGATCTAATTCTGTCTTGAGGGCATAGGGGTACCTTAGATGACCTTGTAGTACTCTTGTCACATTGCGCTGTTAACCCCATATCATATTTATGGGTGCAAAAGGCAGGGTAACGACTCATACCTGTGCAAAAAAAGCCACCAAAAGGTGACAGAGCGGGGACCTGAGCGTTCATCTCCTCTCCATTCCCAGTGAGCTCTTCCTTAGACAGCCCACCCGACAGCCCATCCTTGGATGGATGTGTGCGTCCACCTCCCCGTAGAGCAAGCAGGGATGCTGTTGATGTGCTTCAAAGCAGCCCGTGCCCCAAATAGCTCATGTCCCAAAGGCACACTTAGCTGAGAACATTAGCGCATCCGTGCCCAGCCTCTCCCAGCGTGCCCTCTTCCCGGCAGACTTGATAGCGGAATCACAAAAGCAGTCACACAGCCCATTCTTACATCCGCCGTCTTTCCTTTTCCCTGGGCTTTGTATTAATTTGGACACAGGAGTTTCTTGATAGAAAATGACAAGCGCTGGAGGTACGGTGTGCTGTTAGTGGTAATCGCCCGTGGAAAGCTAATGGCACTTCTCTGCTTTCACTCCGGTGATTCGTTAAGGGGCTGGAGTGACCACCGCCCGGGTAAAGGCCTGGTTTGGATGCTTTCCTCACGAATTTGTTAAAGTTAAAACATTCTGCTTGGAGCTTAATAAATGTGGCTTTGTTGCTTGCTAAATGTTTTCTGGAAGGTTTGAGGTTAAAAGAAGAAATTATCTGAAAATATGAATTAATGAGGAGATATCCCTTTGCCTTTCCTCTTCATCAGAACAGCTTGAAGGAAGAGGATCCCCTTGATTTTGGACCAACTAATTGAGAACTGAGGGGGTTTGAGCTGTTTTTTTGGTAGAGCTCTGCATCTAAAAGTGGTTTGTTCATGTCCAGATACCTCCACTTCCAGTGCCGTCTTTTAAGGAGTTAAAAACACTTGTTCAGGGTGGGCAGGAGCTTTCAAAACCCTGTCAGGTATCCTCTGGGTACCGGGGGTGGGTTCACCTTCCTTTGTGTCCCTGGTCCATGCGGGAGAACCCTGGTTTAGCAGGGGAGAGCAGGCATCCTCTTGTGTTTGGGATATTCTCCCACTCTGCTTCCCCAGACCCACGGCAGGAGCTAAGAGGTTCTTGTTCTGTGGTTGGTACATCCTTATCCAGCTGTTTCTAGGTCTCTGTTGAGTAATTAAGCAGGAGCATCTACCCCAGATAGCCATAAAACCAAGCGTCAGGTCCTGAGGATTGTGAAACTTAAAACACCAAGTGCTGCCCACATTCATTGTGCATGTGGCATCTATTTGCTCACTGTTTTTTGAGCTGTAGAGGTTTGTGGCTTCAAGCATCTCATACCCCCGAGGGCCAGAAACTTGCTTTGTTGGTTTTTTTTTTAAAAGCACTGAGGAAAGACACGCAGGTTGCTGGCTCCAGGAGATGATGATTCAAGGACTGGAGCATCTCCCTTATGAGGAGAGGCTGAAAGAGCTGGGACTCTTTAGTCTGGAGAAGAGAAGGCTGAGGGGAGACCTTATTAATGCCTACAAGTGTCTAAAGGGCGGGCTGAGGGAGGAGGGAACCAGACTCTTTTCAGTGGTTCCCAGTGAGAGGACGAGGGGCAACGGGCACAAGCTGGAACATAAAGGGTTCCACTTGAATATGAGGAAGAACTTTTTCACGGTGAAGGTGGCAGAGCCCTGGCAGAGGCTGCCCAGGGAGGGTGTGGAGTCCCCTTCTCTGGAGATTTTCAAGACCCATCTGGATGCTCCTGAGTAACATGCTCTGACAAGCTCTAGGCAATCCTGCTTTAGCAGGGGAGTTGGACTAGATGATCTCTATGGTCCCTTCCAACTCTAAAAAAATTCAGTGAAATTCAGTGAAAGGGAACCATCCTACAACTGCCTGGTGAACCACAAGTGTTTGTGGGACCACAGTGTCCCCTTTCTTGTGAGTCACCCTGTACACGGGGGGTTCCTTCCCTGCAGCCCCCACCTTACACTGAGCTTCACTTCTCAGGGGACATTCATCCCACTTGTGTTTGCATCACACATCAACAGTGTTTGTGTTGCTTATACCTCAGGGAGACATCCCTTGCCCGGGGCAGTGCCCGTGTGCCATGGGGTGGGACCACAGTGTCCCCTTTCTTGTGAGTCACCCTGTACACGGGGGGTTCCTTCCCTGCAGCCCCCACCTTACACTGAGCTTCACTTCTCACTGGTGAACCACAAGTGTTTGTGGGACCACAGTGTCCCCTTTCTTGTGAGTCGCCCTGTACAAGGGGGTTCCTTCCCTGCAGCCCCCACCTTGCACTGAGCTTCACTTCTCGGGGGACATTCATCCCACTTGTGTTTGCATCACACATCAACAGTGTTTGTGTTGCTTATACCTCAGGGAGACATCCCTTGCCCGGGGCAGTGCCCGTGTGCCACGGGGGGCCCTTGGAGCGGCCCTCACAGCATGTCACAGAATCACAGAATCACAGAATCTTCTAGGTTGGAAGGGACCTTAAAGATCATCTTGTCCAACCGTCAACCTGACTGACAAAAATAGACACCCACACAACAAACAAGAAACATCATCACTAAACCAGACCTCCCAGCACTACATCAACCCGTCTTTTGAACACCTCCAGGGATGATGTGTCCATACTTCCCCCTTTGACCACCTCCCCCGCAGCCCCCCAAAAGTTTTGACCTTCTTGAAAAATCCTTCTCTCCCCAGCTCTGAGCTCCTGGGACCCCCAAAAAACCATATTCCCTTATTCTCATGGACCGTCTGCAGGGCTGGATCCCTCGGTGGGACGTGGGTCTGGACTCTCTGTCCCGCACGTGGTGGATACGTGCCAGACGGCAGCACTTTTTTTAAATAATCTGTAGCACTCTAATGTCCGTCCCGCAGGAGCTGATGAAATGGGTCCTATTATACTTCCTGAGCTAAGCTTGATCTTTCATTGTCCCGTCGGCCCAGCTCCCGGCACCGCGAGCTCCATTTTCACTGCGGACAATTGCAAAGGCCAAAAGTGGGAATCACCGGTGGTGGAAAAGTTTTATGGGTTTCCCTTTTGCCATTTCCATCTAGATGACATCATAAAACGCCACAGGAAGGAGCAGACGGAGGGCAGTGCCACGGGGGACCGGCGGCAGCAGCAGGTGAAGAACAGGAACGCGGCGTTTGGGTCCGGGCGGCCCCGATTCCGCGCCTGGATGCAGAGGAATTTGCAAGGTGGGTGAGCGCCCGGGGACGGGGAGGGCTGCCACGCTGGAAAACACAGCTCTCTAACAAAATACAGCTTTTAAATCCTTCTATCTAATTCCTGCGCACGTATAAGATGTACTGGGGCTCTGAATAGCTTTTTTCGCTGCAACAATGGAATATCAGGGCCCTTTCAGAGCATAAATTCATCCGTTTCTCTCCCTTCCACCCTCTCATGAATTACTAATTCAAAGTGACTTAATATCTATTCTCTATTCCCTTTTGGCTTTGCATATTTTAATTATGCCTCGTCCTAATCCTCTTTTTCCCAGAACACACTTAAATTACCCCTTCAGTAACTGTCTTTGATAGCTCAGTTATTGGAGCTAATTTGTCACTTTTGCCAACCGTGCTATTTTTATGATGAGCTTTTTTGTAACACGGAGCGATCACACACTAATCTATGTTTGCTTCCACTAGCTTTTATCTACAAAACCAAAGTGATAGGCGTCATGAAACACCACCTCTATCAAAAATTTGCCTTTTTTTTTCTTTCCCCCCAAAAAATTACAGCTAAATCACTTCATTGAAGATATTAGAGGCGTTTTGCCATCTTCCCTCGGAGTGCCAATGGCACGTCGGGCGGGTGGGATTGCTGGGAGCAGTCCTGCTCATCTCCTGTCTGCCTCCCCCTCTCTTGTCCTCTCTCTCACCACATATTGCCTTACCCAGGGTTGTTCCGGTTCAAAACAGAAGGATGGTAATTGCCCTTTGTGAATTGATTTTTCTGTTGAAAACACAGGCTTTGATATTCTGCCACGCTCAAGCGACTGCTGCGTGCGGAGTCAAATAAATCAAACAAAATATATATTTTTTTAAGCCCTTCCTGAGAAAGAAGAACTTTCTGTTCCCTTGTAGAATTATTTCTGCTAGTCTTAGTGTTTCATAGGTTTTGTCTGAGCCCTGCCAAGCGCAGAGCCCCACCGTGCTGTGTGCTGCTGATGTCAGTAGCAATTTTGGGAAGCTCAGCACGACTGAGAATTTAGCCCATAATTCTTTAGGGGCTCATTTCTCTTCAGTCCCTGCTGAAATGCAGCAGTCCCTTCTGGGCTGAGATGTGATAACCATTATCAAAATGACGACCAGAACAGCCCAGCACCGTAATGACGGAGGATGGAGAAGGGTATTATGCTGATTAAACCAGCAAGAGAATTTGTGCGAGCGAAGTGCTGTTATCCCTCCTGGAATATGGCTTAAACCATCTCCCCGGTGGGGAAAGATGACTTTTAATGACAAGAAATTTGAATTTCAAATCTCCCTGAAAAAAGAGTCTGTCAGACACGGGGGCTTCTCCCCAAACTGGTCGTGCTGGGCAGCGGTGCCTCTTGGCCAGCCCCGGTGTGCTCAGCACCGGGCTCTGGGCATCCACCTGGGCACAGGGGGGGGCCTTCCCCAGCTGCTGGTGCCTGGGGGGCTTTATTCAAATCTTCTTGCGTTAATCAATATCTGCTGGATGCTTTGTGGAGATGGGGCTTGCCCTGTGTCATGCTTGGGGATACACCTGACAGAGGGAGGCTGGAGAACACGGGGTGCCCTCAGAGGCTGGTGGCTCTGGATGAGGCTGCTGCAGAGGCTTGCTGGTAGGGACTGATGCTGGTAGGGACTGGGGGACAAGGGCAGGATTTTCTAGTTGGTCCCTCCCTTCACACAGGAGAGGCAGCTGGGCTCGGTCACTGGCCACAAAGGAGGTGCAGAGCTATGTGGCAAGGCTTGGTGGCCCCCAGGAGAGCCATCTGGCAAGCAGGCAAGAGAGAGGGGCAAGCCTGGGGTGGATGTTGACAGGAGCAAGAAAGGGAAAAACAGACTGTGGGGATAGAACCAGGAGGAGAAAAATGGGCCATTAAAGGCAGCGAGACCACACCTGGTAGGAAAGACACAGATTGCCAAAATTCCAGTGTTTGTCGGGAGAGGAACACACACAGAATCACAGAATCACAGAATCTTGTAGGTTGGAAGGGACCTTAAAGATCATCTTGTCCAACCGTCAACCTAACTTTGACAAAAATAGACACCCACACAACAAACAAGGAGCATCATCACTAAACCATACCTCCCAGCACTACATCAACCCGTCTTTTGAACACCTCCAGGGATGGTGCCTCAACCACCTCCCTGGGCAGCCCATTCCAATGGCTGAGAACCCTTTCCGTGAAAAAATTTTTCCTAATATCCAGCCTGATCCACACCTGCATCTCTGTGCCGAGGGCATCGTTTGCAAAGAAAATAACTCCTGGCCCCGCAGAGCTGGTGAAGAGCATGACATTTTTGTGAGTGCTCCTCCAGCTCCTCCAGCCGTCGGGAGCGAAGCTTCCCAGGGACATGCCCTGCTGCTGGTCTGTCCTGGAGCCAGAGCAGCTCCCATCATCTTCACCCGTATTCCGGTGATCCTCGCGCCGGCCGAAGCCTTCATTAATCATTGCGGTGGTGGCCCCTGACAGCGATGTCACCGCTGCCTCACGGCACTTCATTTCTAATTGCTCCAAGTCGTTATACGTTGCTGCCATGTAGGAATCGATGGTCTAGGATCAATACCTGTATCTAAGGGCTTTGTGGTTCCTCCAGCGAGGTCCTGCTCTCCGCCACGCGCTGCCCTCTGCCTGCTTTCTGCTCCCCTCGGAGCGGGTGTGCTCATTTCCTGGCACAGCCACTCGGAAAATGCTTCATTATATCTCCAGAAGTAGCGGTCACGTGGAGTAATTAGGCTTTAATGGATTGTGCCTCCGTCTGAAGGGGTGTTTTCCTCTGGCTTCGGCACGCTCCGAAAGCATAAACAGGCTGAGGGAGAGCGTTAAATGCAGGATTGGGCTGTTGGGGGGTACGTAAAACAGCAGCAGAAGGTGCCCCTTTCAATATATGCCCTAAGTAAGGGTATGCCAAGCTTAAAAAAAATTGAAAAAACCCAATAAATAAAAAAAAAATATATAAATTATGGTCCAGTCTTCACTTGTCAACTGCTCTAATGTGAGCACTCAGAGCTATCCCAGGCTGCTGTGGCGTTGGCTTCTGGATGCTGGAGTCACTTGTGTGTCTGTATCAAAAGGCTTTTTTCCATTTCACAGTTAATTCATATCCGTGTGAGCTCTGACAGGAGATTGACAGGTTTCCTGGTGCGAGTGTTCCTGCCTTTATTAGGAATCAGAATTGAGGAAGGCTTTTCTCTTCTATATACTTTCAAATCTAATAATATGTTTGTCAGTCCTACAGATAATAAGAGTGTTAGTAAGACACTGGAAAGATGAATTATTTAATATTCTGCAAAATTAGTTGTCTGGAATAAATTAATGTGATTGTTACATTGCTATTTATATAGATACTCCTGTATCATGCTAAGTTAACCTTGTAATTCATTTGCAAAACGGTAATCATAAATTGACTTTTGCAGGATGCTAAAATAAGAGTTTATTTTCGTAGGGCCTAACCGTTTTAGAAGAGGGTTTGGACAACAACAACACAACCGGAGACAGTTCAGGAACACTGTGCCCGGCCCCAGGAGAAGGGCAGCTGCCGCCTTAAACGGAGTGAGCCCTTTGAATCGCCAGGCATCGGCTCAGGAGGTAAGGGGTGAGGAAGGTGCAGCTCTTCCCAAGTGTCACATCCAAATCTACTGCATTTTATGATCCTGGATCACCCCAAAGAACAATCTACATTAAAAATTTACAGGCACCATCTTTTATATGCCTGTGCACAGCATTTGTATGCATAGGTGAGTACAGACACACGTGCATATAAAATAGCGATTTTCCAGTCGGTTTTATAAGCTTATGACTTGCATCATTTTACTGCATCTGTTCCCATGGGTTTTACAAAAAAGTTTTCTTTAAAAATTCTGTTCTTAGAAAACATTTCCATGAAAACGAATTCCATGTCATCTCATCTTCCTATTATCATTTAGAGGAGGTATGTTAAGATTCGTCATTATTTGTCCCGTACCCAGAGCATTTCCCAAGGTCCAGTGAAGTCCAAGGACGGTCTGTTGTTGACTTCAGGTGTTGACTTTGGTTCAGAGACATTTCACTAGCAAGTGGGTATCCCCCCGAGACACTCACTCCCAGTGCTGTGACAGCCGTGGGTCACATTGCCCCACGCGCTTCAGTGTAAAATGCATTTTTTCTTCATTCCTGGCTTTTCCTTTTTACAAATTTAAATGTTTTGGTCTTGTCTCTGCTCAAAAACACTTTTAAAAAAAGATAGAAATATTTTCATTTGGGTTTTTTGAGTCATTTTTAGGACTCGAGGTGGGAAGGAAGGTACGTGTTCGCCATTAAAGTAACTCTTACAGCTTTTCTTCTGAACATCACTGATAATTGAGCTTGCTTGGTGTAAAAGGTGGGAATCAAGCAAGTAGATAGTCCTCTGTGAGAGGGGGTTGGTTTTTTCTGCGCTGGTGGAAATCCACTCAATTAGGAGGTCACAAGTGCTCAGTAAGCTATAAAAAAACCACCAAAGTGGCAAACATGATGGCACATATAATGGCTGTGTCCTGGGGGTATAAATAAGAGAGCCCTAAACCAAGCATGCATGTGCATGGCGTGTGGTTAGTCCTGAAAATAAAGGCTGTGGTGACTCAGATATTGAGTGTGGCTGGGTATTAACAGAACGTAATAAGCAGTTGCTAGGAGGCAGAGTTCTGTGGTAGCTTCCATTTTGCAGAAATAACACAAGTGGGAAGAATGTGGAAACGCGTCTCCGTTAGGGGTAGTAACAGTGCTGGGGGCTGTCCCATGGAAATGAAGGGGACACAGTCTGTGGCAGTTTGTGTAAGGGACCGTGAGGGGGCTTTGGATGTGCTTCGTGCCTTGGGGCTTGGACCAGGCATTGGACGTGTCCAAACAGGAGAGAGTCAGTGACCGAAAGGGAACCTGAGCAAAGCTGTAATGCTTGGCTTGCGCGAGATTTGCTCTCCTTAGGCTCACTTTTGGGGTATTTCTGCACCATCAGAATGAAATGGTCTTGCTGGTACTTGTTGTTTCATGCCCAGGAACCGAGACATGCGTACGGGTTGTTGACAAATGTGTGCACTAGGTCCCAGAGATAAGACCACAGCAACACTGCTGGGTAGAAACACTCCTGCCGTAGATGCAAGGACACCATGGAGGAGACCAGGTTGTAGTACATTTAGTGAGGAATCAGTTTCCCATTGAGAAAATATCAAAGGAGGGAACAAACCAGAAGCCCTTGCAGAGCAGGGTTGTTCTCTTGCAAAGGAGAAGCAGTTGGGAATGAGAAGAGAGGGAACAGGAATGCAGACCCCCCGGCGTGGGGCTGACACGGGGAGGGGACGGTGGCAGTGTCAGCAGTCCCCACCGGTGCTTCGGAGCTGGGTTTCACAGAATCACATAATCCTTATGGTTGGAAGGGACCTTTGAGATCATCAAGTCCAACCACAAGAAAACCCCAAAACCAAAACACACACCATACAAACAAACCCCACAAACAGACACAACCCAACAACCTCGGGCACTAGAGCATGCCCTGAAGTGCCACGTCTACACGCTTCTTAAATACCTCCAGGGATGGGGACTCCACCACCTCCCTGGGCAGGCTGTTCCAGTGCCTGACCACTCTCTCAGCAAAGTCACTCTTCCCAAGATCTAGTCTGAACCTCCCCTGCCCCAACTTCAGACCATTTCCTCTGCTCCTGTCATGATTCCCTTGGGAGAAGAGGTCAACCCTCACCTCTCTCCACCCTCCTTTCAGGGAGTTGGAGAGGGCAATGAGGTCTCCCCTCAGCCTCCTCTTCTCCAAACTAACCATGCCCAGATCCCTCAGCCTCTCCTCGTGTGACTTGTTCTCCAGACCCCTCCCCAGCTTGGTGGCTCTCCTCTGGACATGCTCCAGCCCCTCAATGTCCTTCTTGTGGTGAGGGGCCCAGAACTGAACCCAGCCCTGGAGGTGAGGCCTCACCAGTGCCCAGACCAGAGGCACCATCACTGCCCTGCTCCTGACACAGGCCAGGATTTTCCCCGGGCCAGAGCCAAAGAAAATGCCAAATAAAACGCGGCGGTGGTTCTGTCGGTGAGGGAGGATGGAGGGGAGGCCGTGGGGCGGGTGACGAGGGCTTGAGCTCTCCTGGCTCTTTTCAGGGCAACAGGAACGACGAGGCTTTCGCCAAAAGCAGCGGGCAGCCCGAGGGACGGCGACGGCCGCCCCCAGGCCCCAAGAGATTCCGAGTGGCTGCTGCCAGCACCCACGCCCCGGGGAGAAGGTAAAATCTTGGGTAAATCTGGGCTTTTTTTTTGGGTTTTCAGCGATTCCCCGTGCAGCCCCTGGGGCTCCGCTCTTGGCCTGTGCCAGCTGGGAGCGGCTGCAGCCCCGTGTCCATGCAACGTGAGAGAAATACCCCTGGGTACGGTAGGAAAGCACCTGGAAATAACCCAGCCTCGTGCTGGCAGTTAATAACTCAGGTATTAGATGCCTCATTTTCACTGAATTTCACTGAATTTTTAGAGTTGGAAGGGACCATAGAGATCATCTAGTCCAACTGCCCTGCTAAAGCAGGACCACCCATAGCTTGTCAGAGCATGTTACTCAGGACTGCATCCAGGCGGGTCTTGAAAATCTCCAAAGATTTTGTTCTAGAAAGCACGGAAAATGTCACCTTTGTTATTTTTGTTAAGCTTTTCCTCTGTCACTTCGGGGAGAATTTTTGAAGGGTGAAATAGCATTTGTTTTCGTGAAGGCAGGAGATACAGATTCCAGGGGGAAGGGACAGGCAGGGGCAGGGATCGTGTCCTGGAGAGGGGCCGCAGGAGCTGGGCAGCCCTGGTCCCCGTCCCATCGGTGTCCTCCTGTTCCCCCAGCTCAAAGGCAGGTGCCCCCTGCAATCCCTTCTTTCCCTGCTCGTAGCAGAGCAGGGGCTGAATGACCTCCAGAGGTCCCTTCTGACCAGATTGTTTTTCTGTGGTTTTCTTTCATCATTTTTTTTTTTTTTTTAATGGGCAGAGTTCAGAACAAACACAAGCTGTTGTTTCATTTGAGCAGAAAAACGAGTTCCTCTGAAATCCTTTGCTGGCAGAAAAAACCTGTCGGGCTGCACTTTGGGAACACACAGCCTCATTTGCTTCTTATGGTGCTTTTTCATACCATACCGGGTTTGGTATTTCAGCATTAAACTTTAGGTGAGCCCTGGCATCCTATTCACCCATGTCCTTTTCTTTCTCTACCAACCATCAGGCCTTTCCTGCTGAACCGGGGACCAGCCTTCCAGCAGAAGCGGATGCCGCAGTGGTTCTCCAAAGCCAACTTTCAGAGAGGGGTCAGTATTGAGACGTTTGTTCTGCAACCTCCTGCTGGTGACAAGCCTTTGGTTTTACCAGCCCTTCCCCAGTTATATCTTTGCTTCTACAAGCACCTGGGAGAGACAGGTGACTTTAATACAATGAATGTATTCCCAGGGAAGTGTTTGCAGGGCAGGCATTTCTTAATGCAGCTTAATCTAGCAGCTGGAAAATAAAACGTGGGCAGGTGATAGAAGTAAACCTTGCAGGCTGTACAGCAGCACAAGCAGGGCAAAGTAAAGCCTCCCCATACAGATCCTCATGCCAGCAGGAAACCCCAAATTAGCAAATTTCTTGACAGCATGCAAGGAAAGAGCTATTCAGATACACCGAATGAAATACAGGAAACGGAATTGTTGTTCCTGAGAGGCAATTATTTATGTCTTTTTTTTTTCTTTATTAAGAAGAAAACCTCCTATTTCTTAATATTTCGCAGCAGATGGATGCTAATGGAGAAGGGAAACCACCCAGGAGGAGAAGGTAATTGGTGAACAAAGGCACGCTGCAAACACGACGTGCTCTTTCACGCTGGAATCCGAGCTGGATGCATCTCCCTGTCCCGGCAGGTGGCAAGTGAAGCCCAGCCCCGGAGCGGTTCTGACGGTTTCTGTGGCTAATCCCCAGGCGGGCCAGGCCGGCGCGTAAGTAAATGAGGTGATTTGTTCAGATGGGAGCCCTACAAAAGCCACGGCAAATCCCTTTAGCATTATTGCAGCTCCCCTTCTTCTATAATGAGTACACGGAGGATGGTTCACATCCAAAATGGTTGGCAAATGATGTTTCGGCCTATCTGAAAGGAGACGGTCATTACCCTGCGCTCGTTTGGTATCTGGAGTAAGGAGAAACAGAAGGAGGTGGCAGCAGGAGGTGGCAGGTTGGCCGTGCCCTTGGTGGGGTGTCAGGGAAAACGCCGTGCACCCCAAAAGGATGCCGTGGGCTGGCTGTGCCAGAGGAGGCCAGCAGAGGCTGGAAGGGGACAGTGTCACCCCTGGGCTGAGCTGGTGACCCAGGCACCCAGTGAAGGGCAGAGAGAGGAGTGGGTGAGGGTTTGTGTCACCTCCTGGGTGCAGAGGGCACCCCGTGGTAGCCCTGATGTGATGTGGTCCCCAGCGCTGGGACTCTGCACGGCGTGCGGGTGTCTCCTTGGCACCTTGCTGGTTTGCAGACGATGGGATGTGAGCTGCCTCAGCGTCCGCAGTGACCTCAGGTCTGTGCTTTCCTCAGGCCCGGATCCAAGCGGCCGTTCCTGCGAAGCCGGAGGCCCCCACCACCACCAGCCAAGCCCCAGCCCAAGGGGGTGCTGCTGAGGTTCAACTTCCGCGCCATGGCCAACCAGGTAGAGGGTTGTCGACGGGACAGGCGGCGCCTGGCACCCTCCAGCAGCCCTGCCACTGGGCTCCTAACGTCACGCTCAGGTGTCTGGGGCTGCTGGCTGGGTTTGTCTGGCATAACCCAGGAGGCAAGTCCCATAGCCACGTTGGCTGGGTCGCTCGTGCAACTGAAGGCACCTGAGAAGACTGTTCAGCAACTGCAGACTCAGCCCAGTTTTCCCAACTCTGTTGGGTCCTCTTGGCCTATCCATGTGCTTGCTCAGAGCAGGGAGATGCTGCTTGTGAGTGGTCCTGGCCGGGGGGGACCATTTCACTGTCGGTGCTCCCCATTCCTCAGGGACACACAGCACTTCTGGGCTTTGCTCTCTCTTTGCTTTGGTGACCTTCTCGGTGCCACGTTTTACACTGAAGTACGGTCCAAGAGCCCTGGGGCAGATCAGAAATCCTGCTCCACCTTCTTCATTGCCGGCATTTCTTGTCTGGACGGTTTGGTTTTACTTCATGCCTTGTGCTCAAATGCCATCTGCTTGCTCCTGCTGAGGACGCCTGGTGTCTTGGGGCTGGGCACTGCTTGGAGGTTTTCCAGACGCACACAGTCTGTCGAGCTCCTTGTCTCCGTGTGCTGAGTGGTTTAATTGACTAACCGGCTGCCCAGCACCGTCCTGACTGATGGGCTCTAATCAATACCCTGCTGCAAGTGTGGCCACGCTTTTCCAGGAGCCGCGGGACTGACTGGCTCTCCCTTTCCCCCGCAGACCAGCCTGACGCTGGATGAGAGGTTCTCTGGGCTGAGGAATAAGAGGCGCTTTACAGCAGCCCGGAGCGCCGGCCGGACGGTCACCATGCCTTAGCACCACCTGCCCCTCGCAGGGGCTGCCCAAAACAGTCCGGGCCCCGTACCGGGCAGCTCAATAAAACTTGATAGATTTCCTCCGAGAGCGCTGATTTGGCAACGCGCCGTCTCCTTCCTTACACGCTGAGTGAGTGAGCGACTGAGGGGTCTGGAGAATAAGTCTTATGAGGAGAGGCTGAGGGAGCTGGGGTTATTCAGCCTGGAGAAGAGGAGGCTGAGGGGAAACCTTATTGCTCTCTACAACTCCCTGAAAGGAGGGTGTAGAGAGGTGGGGGTCGGTCTCTTTTCTCAAGTCACAGGCGACAGGACAAGAGGAAATGGCCTCAAGTTGCGCCAGGGGAGGTTCAGGCTGGATATTAGGAAAAATTTTTTCACTGAAAGGGTTCTCAGCCATTGGAATGGGCTGCCCAGGGAGGTGGTTGAGGCCCCATCCCTGGAGGTGTTCAAAAGACGGGTTGATGTAGTGCTGGGAGGTCTGGTTTAGTGATGATGCTCCTTGTTTGTTGTGTGGGTGTCTATATTTGTCAGTGAGGTTGACGGTTGGACAAGGTGATCTTTAAGGTCCCTTCCAACCTAGAAGATTCTGTGATTCTGTGATTCTGTGACTGAGGGCAGGGACGAGGCAGGATGAGAGTTGTGGCAGAGCACGGGGCACATGGGACGTGAGCAGGGCCATGGAGGGGATGAATGGAGATGGATTTGCCCCCGCTCTCTGCCAGGGGGCTGGCACCAGCCCTGTCCCCCTGCCAGCCCACCCTGGGGTGTCGCCTGCAGGAAGGAGGGGGCACCAGCTCCCAGCATTACCCCTGGAGTCTTCCCTGCCTTGTCCCACTGGTGGGACAGAGTTGAGGACAATGTGCCTGCCCATTGTGGGGAGCAATGTGTGGGACAGAGGGACCTGCCCCTCGGTGGCACCAGTGGGGATGCCCCACCTGCCCACATTCCCCAGCATCCCCCCAGCTGCCCCATGTGCTGTGCCTGCGGACATCCCTGCCCCAAACTTTGCCATGCAGGACTCCTCCATCCCAAAAACATCTGGCTCTGCCCTGGTAGTCAGGCCTGAGTGCCTTGCATTTCTCTTTGGTTTGCCATGCTGTTCTGACTGCTGCTGGCCTGGCTGCGGGGACGTGCCGTGCCGTGTCACCAGAGTGGCTGTCCTCAGCATGGACCACAGACGGGCTGCCCCAGCCCAAATTTGGTTTCCCAGTGCTGCAGTAGGATTTCAGATTAGGGATTGCATTAGGGATTTTGTGGGTGCAGCTCCACCTGCCCTCAGAACACCGGCATAATCCAACTAGCAGCTGCCAGAGGGAGGCCAGGCTCTGCAGTGTCTATAAACATTGGCTGAGATATTAATGACTCGGGTCTGGTCATTTGTTAATGGAGCCCTGCACCAGCCCTTGAGTCACTGATCCCTTCTCCACCCCCTGCTGCAACCCAGCACCGATTCTGCTGGACATGGCCTGTCCTGGGCTCCAGGTTGTGCTTACTGAAGCAAATATTGGGTAGAACAGCTTTGCATTTGACACCGAGTGTCTTTCTCAAGAGACTGGACTCGGCGCCGGTTTTACAGGGATGTGTGAGATGTTGTTAGCTGACGGAGCGGTGATGTATGAGTCCAATGCACTGAATAAAGAGCTAACTTGTCAAACATCACCTCGGGTTATTTTTGGTCGTTCTCTCTGGAGCTGGCTTTTGGCACAAGTTGAGCCTCGTGTCGGGGGCACGGTGTGCGCGGCCACCTTAGGCTGGCTGCCGTCCCCCTTGGTGTCCCCAAGGAGCCACCCAGCGGGTGGTTTGCCACTCCAGGGCTGGCTCCAAAGCACAGCCAGAGCAGTGGGAGGTTTTCAAGAGGTATTTTGTAAAATATTTGCTGTGACTCTTTTGCCTTTAATGTTATCAGCAAAATTATGAGAGCAGCCCCAGCTCCCAGTATGTCCAAAGCGAAATGAAGGCAAACAGACGCTGAATGAACCTGAAGTGAAGGTGTCACCCCTTCATGCAAATAGTCTGGATGTCATGGAAGATGAAGAAGAAGCACCATCACGAATGGCAATACCCATGATTTGAGCTGAACTTTCACTATAAATAATGACAGAAGATGGTAGACTCACTAAGAAAACCTGGTCACGTATTAAACCAGGCTGCAAAGGGACGGAGCCATTCGGTTCTGAAAGAGCAGCTGAGTATGCAGCAGCCCCTGCGTGTTCAGAACACCCCCTGATACTATTCTCCAAATAGATGTTCCCTTCCAACCCCCTGGGATTCTATGATTCTGTGAATTAAAATTGAGGGCTTTGTGATAAAAGCTGCACTTTTTTTTTCTAGCTTGATTCCCCCACAGCGAGAGACAACACAGGCTTTGCTCAGAAGGGCACTGAATTTACAGGTAGCAAAAAAGCATAACCATCGTGTTAAAAACGTTGGGAGAGGGCACCGAGTCCATTTACTCAACGGGTGTAAAATACCCCTTTGTGCCACGTACTGAAACCCCAGAGCCGTTCTCTCTGGGGAGCGTGGGGCGTGCGGAGCCCAGCTGCTCCCCGGGGAGGCTGTTGGTGGGACACAGCTCATCATGTTGGTTGTGGTTTGAGGAACCCACAACAATTTATTGTTGTTCAGACGATTATTCTCTCACCTGGTGACCCCTCCCCACCCAGGAAGAGGAATCAGGGAAAAAACAAGGAAACCCAAGGGTGGAAATATAAATAGATTTAAAAGGATAAGACTAGATAATTAATGCTAATAACATCAGAGAAGGAGCATTGATCCCGATCCCGATATAATCCACCTAAATATGAGGAGGAACTTCTTTCCCGTGAGAAGCCCATGGGGGACCCTGCGAGCGCCGCGGCTCCGGGGGGAAGGAGTTCTCTGGATCCCAGCCATCGAGGGGGAGAGAGAAACTCCTCAGCAAACTTTCTAATTGATATGGGATGTGCTGTTCATGGTGTGAAATAACCCTGTTGGCAGCTTGGGTCCAGTGCCCGGGTCTCGCTCCTCCTCATCCTCACACCTGGGGAGCTCGGAAACACCGAGGTCTTGAAACCCACACCCCAGAGCTGGCCAGAAAGTAAATATTGTCACAAATTCAGACACCAGAGCCTTCTAAAAGTGTAGTTTTCCCAGGGATTAGAGGGGAAATTAGTCCTGTGTCTCTTAAGCCAGGCTGAGGATTCTCCAGCTGTGGCCCAGAGCCGCGCTTGCCCGGCCAGAGTGTCCGCGGTCCCCAAAACCCAGCTGGACACGTTCCTGTGGGACCTGCTTTGGGTGGACCTGCTTTGGCACGGCCCTCACACCTGGGGAGCTCGGAAACACCGAGGTATTAAAATTGAGGGCTTTGTGATAAAAGCTGCACTTTTTTTTTCTAGCTTGATTCCCCCACAGCGAGAGACAACACAGGCTTTGCTCAGAAGGGCACTGAATTTACAGGTAGCAAAAAAGCATAACCATCGTGTTAAAAACGTTTTCTCAGGCATTAGAACCAGAGGTCCCTTCCAACCCCCTGGGATTCTATGATTCTGTGAATTAAAATTGAGGGCTTTGTGATAAAAGCTGCACTTTTTTTTTCTAGCTTGATTCCCCCACAGCGAGAGACAACACAGGCTTTGCTCAGAAGGGCACTGAATTTACAGGTAGCAAAAAAGCATAACCATCGTGTTAAAAACGTTGGGAGAGGGCACCGAGTCCATTTACTCAACGGGTGTAAAATACCCCTTTGTGCCACGTACTGAAACCCCAGAGCCGTTCTCTCTGGGGAGCGTGGGGCGTGCGGAGCCCAGCTGCTCCCCGGGGAGGCTGTTGGTGGGACACAGCTCATCATGTTGGTTGTGGTTTGAGGAACCCACAACAATTTATTGTTGTTCAGACGATTATTCTCTCACCTGGTGACCCCTCCCCACCCAGGAAGAGGAATCAGGGAAAAAACAAGGAAACCCAAGGGTGGAAATATAAATAGATTTAAAAGGATAAGACTAGATAATTAATGCTAATAACATCAGAGAAGGAGCATTGATCCCGATCCCGATATAAAATCCCCCAGGCCCATCCCCAGCCCATCCCCAGCAGAAGCCGTGCCCTCCCCGCAGGGACAGCCCATGGGGGACCCTGCGAGCGCCGCGGCTCCGGGGGGAAGGAGTTCTCTGGATCCCAGCCATCGAGGGGGAGAGAGAAACTCCTCAGCAAACTTTCTAATTGATATGGGATGTGCTGTTCATGGTGTGAAATAACCCTGTTGGCAGCTTGGGTCCAGTGCCCGGGTCTCGCTCCTCCTCATCCTCACACCTGGGGAGCTCGGAAACACCGAGGTCTTGAAACCCACACCCCAGAGCTGGCCAGAAAGTAAATATTGTCACAAATTCAGACACCAGAGCCTTCTAAAAGTGTAGTTTTCCCAGGGATTAGAGGGGAAATTAGTCCTGTGTCTCTTAAGCCAGGCTGAGGATTCTCCAGCTGTGGCCCAGAGCCGCGCTTGCCCGGCCAGAGTGTCCGCGTCTCAGGCATTAGAAGGGAAATTAGTCCTGTGTCTCTTAAGCCAGGCTGAGGATTCTCCAGCTGTGGCCCGGAGCCGTGCTCGCCCGGCCGGAGTGTCCATGGTCCCCGACCCGGGAGGTGGCAGCAGCCACCGGCTCTCAGGCCGGGGCCACTGGGAAGGGGCAGCTCTGCCACCTGGAAAACGTTTTTCCTCTGTTTCAGGCCAGCCAAAGCCATCTCCAGACTAACCTCTGGTGGGGTCGAGAGGTTTAGAAGTGCAGGAGGAACCATACAGGGTCAGGAGAGAGTCCCCGTGGAGCATCCCCGGGATTGGGACACCAGGACCAAACCAAACACACAGCGATTTCTTCCTTTAGCCCTGGTATCTTTGTGTTTAACAGCATTTGGTGGGGTTTTCTTCCACTGTTGCCTTTTGCTGTTTGCTTTCTGTCTATTTGTCTGCCTCCAGAGGCCAGTATTACAAGTGAATATTTGTTCCTGTATGCCCTTCACAATTTATAGACCCATGCCGTGTTCTCCCTTCCTCACCACCTTTCTAGAAGAACCTCAGTGTATCTACTTGTTCACTGCCACCTTCTGGATATATATA